CAAAAGAACAGCCAACTTATTTTCACTGAAAATATTTAAACACGTTTGGAGGACAAGCATTTGCCAATGATTGGGATATCATTTTCCAACATGCGACCATCACCACCGTTGAGGATAGCATCCAAAAGAGCGTTGATAGCTGGAATGACGACGTCCTTAAGAAGTTGATCAATGAGAGCAGCATTGTCCTTCAAGTACTGGGGCAAGTTAGCAGCAAACTCCTGCAGAGGTCCACTGACATCCTGACCATCAATGGCGAGGTTTTCAATGAGGAGCTATCCACAAAACCACCAAATCAATAAATATACAACAAATCAATCACCATTAGATTAACTTACAGCAGAAGATCCAAGGGAGACCTTAAGTTTAGCAGACTTGATGGAGATGGGGTTGAGGACAGCTTGACCTTCCAATTCAAAGCTCAACTCGGAGAGGTCACCAGCAATGTTTCCGGAACCAACGAAGGTGTGGTCAAAGATGCTGGCATCAGCATCGTAGGTACCAGACACATCACCAGCAGGCCAGCTGACTTTAACAACAATCTTAGCACCAACAGGGATGATGGTCACGCTGATCTTGAGCTGTTTCAGGTCCCAGTGGGAGATACCAGCCAAGTGGAAGTTCTTGACATTCACGTGACCGCTGATGCCTTGGAGGTTCAGGGAGTCCAAATCAACATTGAGTTCGTCAATTTCCAGAGGGTTGAAGCTGGGGAGACCGGTTTCAGCGTCACCATTGTTGAGGATATCACGAATGCATTCCAAGAAAGCGATGATTTGGTCTTCCATGATCTTGGCTTGCTTGGTTTGCAAGTGGGACAAAGCCGGAGAATCTAATAATAAATTTTTTTAGTAAAAACATTAAAAATATTTCAAAAGAAAAATAACTTACGGTTGATCTGGACATCAAAGGCCATGATCGGGGCCAAGAGGGCGAGGAACAAAATAGCGCGCATCTTCGTTTTGTTTGTTCACTTTGACAAGACAAGAGAAGCTGATCGAAGTGTGACAAAATTCAG